TTAATATTTTTCAGCATATATTTTAGCATATTTTTGTTTGCTCAAACTACAGATGTGTGCAAAAAAAATAAACCCCTCAGGCTTTTCAGCAGGTCTCAAACAATAATAAAAAAAATACTTTAACGTTTCAGTCCTGTTCAAAAGTACAGATACATTCTCAAATTTTGTGAAGTTAAAGTAAAAACTATCCACTTAAAAATGCACTATGTAACTTCTTGGTTGAGGGTCCGTCACCTGTTTGTTTCTATGGATATATCATTGGTCTGCCTGGAATGTTCCACAGTATGACATTAAACTGCTTTGCCTTACATTTATTCAATTGCAGGTGGTTTTATAGCCCAAAAATACCTAGAAAAACAGGCATTCTGACTGAGCAGGATTTGCTCTCCACAGATCTGACCTGTAAATTGGTGTGGTTTGAGCTCCATGAGGAATAGAAATATTTAATACCATACTGTGAAACATTCCAGACAAAGCAATAACATCTCCATGGAGAAAAGGATTTGACAGACCCTCCACCAGAAAAGTTATACAATGCACCTTTAAGAACAGTACTTTACTACTTTTGCTTTGTTACATTCCACCATTATTAATATTATTTTTTTCACATTTTCTCACAAACAGCAGACTTCCCTCTACTGTGGTTTATCCTCCCAGCTGTGGCCATCTTCCTCATGGTCCTCATCATTTCCATTGGCCTTTGTTTTTGTTGCTTCAGAAAAAGAACCAGAAAGTAGGTTAAATGATTCAGTTCCTCTATTTATTTTAACTCATCTAGCAAAGTTTGGTAATCTCTCTCTCTCTTATTTATTTTTTTCTTTTCCAGACGTATGCTGCGCCACCATCTAGCTGCATATCCTGAAAACCTTGGCATTTATCAGGACAGGATGCCTCTCTATATTAACTGCACTGAAGTGACTCATATTTACACAAACGGCAGCTATCAAGTTGTGTACCAGAATTCCACACCTTGTTTTGTTCAAACTAAGCAGGTATAATATTATGGTGTTTTTTTGTATTATTGCTCGCATTCAGACATATGAATATATATTGACATTTTCAGGTTCGTCCAATGGGCAGACGAGGAGGGGAGAGACGCAGAGGAGCAGAGCGTGGAGTGAGAGAAAGACAATCCAATTTACAAACCAGACAGATAGTCCAGAATACTGCAGTGGCTGATGCTGATACTGCCATATACTTGGAGATACTCTGAACTGAACTATGGCTGAAGCTCATTTATAAATAGACTTTGGAACAGCTTAAAGGCTTGCCTGTCAGCATTTTTTCATGTTTATTTCATATCCCTTTTTCTGTATAATGCCAACATTGTTTTAATAAAATGATGAATGTAGGTTAATTAAAATCATATTACAAAAACAGCAAATACTAATATTTCTAATAAATATAATTCTTGTTAAAAGGACTATTCATTTAAAGGAACCAAAACAGGCCTATTTTCCTCAACTTCAAATAATATTACTCAGTAGAAGCACACAGTGGAGGTTGCAGAATGACTTGGAGAAGCTATTTTTATTTTTTTATTTTTTTTATAATAATGACACTATTTAATATATTTAAAAAAAATAAAATACAGAATATTCTAGACAAAATATGTCAAATAACACAAAAAGCTACTCAAATAAACACAGTTAACCTTGATATAAAATGGTTTGCAACTTACCATGACAGATGTTCATTTCATTGTTTGCAGCAAAGATCTCAGGGAGGCTGCACGGTTATATTGGGGGTTCAAGTCTGAAAAGTTAATCCCTTCCCCTTCTTAACTGAAGTTGAAGAAAACTGTTTGGAGTTTGGACATAAAAGAGGGACTGGTGCAATATTGCATAAATTGTTTCCCCAATTAATAAACTGTAAATTTAAAAAAAAAAATCTCATCATAAAGCGTGTTACTAAACACAAGAGCGCTGCACTGAGCTCATACACACAAATAATCATATGAATAGCAGCATAAAAACTGTTATTGAAAAGTTTATTGTGCATGTAACGGCTAGAGTAGACATTTAAAAAAATAATAATTTTAAACACGATAGATGCACGACCATTACAAAAAAAAAAAAAAATCTCCTCCAATCCTACAGGGAATGCTAACTATTCTGTGGGGCGCAGTTTTTAGACAACGAAGATGTCCTGCTCTTTGATTGGACAGAGACACTACGCCGCCGGAAGTGACGCAGCACGCAGACGTCAACCTTTTGGTGGGAAAATGAGTCCAGTGGTGTTTTATTTAGGTTTAAAATTACATTTATACAATTTCTGACGCGAATTTCAGTGCGAAACGAAGCGAGTGCATTATACCCCCATGTTACTTCTATAGGTTCATCTGTAGTAGCCATTTACGCGTAATAAAACCTTATGCTACAGTGTCCAAGCTAACACCGGCTAACACTGCCTATTCTGGCCATTGTTTGGTAGCATGTTAGCTTTTTAGCCACACGTTAGTTTGAATAATAAACGTGCATCTCGTTCATACTTTTCTGTGTGCTATTTTTGTCCTTTTTCTTCGATAACAAGACGAGCATTTCTCATTTGATTCATCGGGAGTCACGTGTTGCATGTTAACAACAACAACATGCCTGAAATAAAATTGAAGCACGTTGTGTCCTGCAGTACAGAAGACACGGTAAGTTTCTTTTTAGTTTTGTGTTTAAACTGCAGTAAGATCGTGACGGAAAACAGCCTCTCGTTATTATGTAACTGTTTGTTGTGATGCAGACGCACAAGGCTGACAACCTGCTGAGTTCTGACACCTACAGAAAGTGGAAAGCAGCCAGACCAGGGGAAAAACAGACCTCCGTCATCATACAGGTAAAACAATATTATTAAATATCCTAGACTGCACAAATCTTGAGAGCTTTAAGTCATGTTACTGAATCAATAACATACCTGGAGTTGTGTTTTGTTTCATTCACACATGTTTGCGCAACCTTTTATTTATTAGTCTTTCTACATCTGCTTTTAGATTTTGTTCTACAGAGATAGGCAAATCCACAGCAGAAATGATATTAATGATTCTAGTGAAGGTGTATGGAGTTTAAAAATACTTCCTGTATTGACCCTGACATCACGAGGTGAACAGAATGTTTTCTGTTTGAGAGAATATCTCAGGCTAAATATACGGGGTTTGTGTGTTAAACATGTGTGAAAGTGCAAAAAAAAACAAAAAAAACCCCGCAGTATCATGTGACATCTTGCCTACCCATCAACATGCTCTTGCAAAGCAGATTTGCACTGTTGACCAAGTTATAACAAGTGTGAGCAAATAATATAATAATTAATTGGATTAATTCTCCTGTTTGAAAGACTAGCAGTCCCGTGCTCTGCTTCAATAAAAATTATAATCATCCAGCGTGTGCAAAAATTTTATTTCATTTGCTGGTTTCTGTGTGTGTTTGACTTTATTTTTGGACTTAAATGATGCAATTAACTTCATTTTATTTTTATTTTTTTACCACAGTTTGAAAAAGAGGAGCAGGTGCACAGCATTGACATTGGAAATGAAGGGTCGGCGTTCATTGAAGTTTTGGTGGGGAACTCTTCAGCTTCAAGAGACCAGGACTATGAGGTATTCACATAAAACATTCTATATGGTACATACATTTGTTGTTCTTTAAAGGCCCTCTGTTACACAAAATTGAATCTTATGAGCTTTAAGCCATGTTAGAATGTTGTTACCTCAAAAAACATTTCTGGGGTTGTGTTTGTTTCATTCACACATGTTTGAGTAACACTTTATTATTCGTCTGTCTACACCAGACGTGTCAAACTCAGGCCCTGGGGGCCAAATTTGGTCCTCAATATAATTATATTTGGCCTGCGAGATCATATCAAATTTGTATTAGAGCTGCTCGCTGGCTACAGATAGATTATAGAGACATTAATTATTTAAAATTGTGTTATTATTTTATATTATGTTTGTTCTGGATTCAGTGTTTAAGTAAAACTGTTATTATTAATTATTTTTATGTGAAAAGCTTTAATATTACATATCTCAAAAAAAGAGAAAACATGCAGATGTTACTGAAATTTTTCAATAAATATTTAGTTTTTTAGTTTTTTAATTTTGGCCCTCTGTGAATTTGAGTTTGACATCCCTGATCTACACCATGGTGGGTCGCAAGAGATTTTTTTTTGGGGTCATCTTGTAACGATCTGCATGTCGGTGTGTGATATACAGTTCTGACACCTGACGCATCTGTGCTCACCAAAATGAAGACAAAGCACAGAAACAGACTGAATCTGATCTGCTGCTGCGTCTCCTCCTGCACCCGGACTGAACACACTACAAAAACACAGACAGACCCACCTATCTCATTAGAAATGTTCAAATGTTAAGACATGTTTTCTAAAAATGTTTTTGTATTTCTTTTATTGACTTTTTTTTTTTTTCCAATATTGCTGGTTCAGTTGAATGTTGAAAAGAAAAAGAAATGTTCTGTATTTAATGTCCAGACAGGCAACTTATGGATCCTTTTATTGCTGCTTCAATTACTGTTTTTCATTGTTTAAAACTTGAGTAATGCTAAATGTTCAGAGACACAATCACTCAGTCAACAATAAAATATCCTCATTAATGTTCAATAATGTTCAAATCCACCTTTATTTTATGAATTACGAATAATGTCTATTGACTTGGGTCGCGAAAGTTTGTAACTTTTAAAATATGGGTCCCCAGAAAAAAAGTTTGGGAAACACTGATCTACATCTTTAATACTCTAATAATACATGCTCTGTTCCACCTTGTGATGTAAGATAAGATAAGATAAGATAATCCTTTATTGTCTCCTATGGGAGAAATTTGTCTTGGGACAGGGGGTAACATGCTTTATCAAAAAACAGGACAACACAACACAAACAACACATAAAAAAAACACCATAGAACAGAATAAATATGAGACCAAGTCTGACCACGAGTGATGCACCAACAGGACCTTTAAATTATTCTTAACAGGAAAGCCCTTGCATTTTTGTATTCTATTAATAATTGCACATTCCCCTTGAGCCTATGTGCAGTTTTAATTATTGCACATTCCCTAAGCCTATGTGCAGTTTTTTTCACGTCATGTCATGTAGTGGTAGTTTTCAGCTACCTTTAAATCAGTTGAAATTGGCAATTCCAGACCTGAAATCATCCAAATGACGTTAGTGATGGTGTATTGAGTTTAAAAACACAGTGGAGCACTTTCTGTATTACCAGATTATTATTTGGGAGAAGAACTCAGCCTAAATATGCAGAATTTTTGTGTTAAACATGTGTGAATGAAACACAAAAACGCAACTTCAGGTCTGTTTGTGATGAGGAAACAACAGAAAATAGCGTCATATGTTCCCTTTAATTAGAACAAAGATTAAATGTTAAATTAATTTGTGTATAGATTCTGTTTTACAAATAAACTTACCTTATAAAGACAACTGAACAACAATAGAACATATTTATAAATGAATTCACAAAACTCTTCGACTGTTATTCGCAATATGCCTTTCTCCTGGTAAACTACTTTAAAATCCCATAGTGCACAGTGCTGTATCCAGACGCACGCAGACATCGCCCTCCCCTCACAGCAGGACCGCGTTTCCCATGAGGCCGCGTGACCAATCTTACCCACAGCGCAGCTCTTCAGCCCTGCTCCTGTCCGTATACAGGCCAGTGTGAAGTGATAGGGGTGTCCATTTATACAGGCTGCCTCGGGGGGACGTCTGTGGGCTTTGAAGTGGAGGGCCGCTTTTCCCAGCATGCACCTCTGGAGGAAGCTCTGAAATAGTGTACCTACCTCCTCTGAACTGAATGCACTCGGGGTATATGGAGTGAGAGATGGGGGTGTAGTCTGGCTTTTTGAACAATTGGTGGAGTGGCAGAGTTGGATATATGTCTGTTATTAAAGAGACGTCTATGTTCTTTCTGTGTTCTAATGTAGTTTCCTCATCACAAACACACCTGGAGTTGTGTTGTGTTTTGTTTCATTCACACATGTTTAACACACAATGCCTGCATATTTAGGATGAGTTATTTTTCTCAGATTTCAAACATTCTGTTCCACCTTGTGATTTTCCAATCTGGGTCCACTGAAGGTGCAGACTGTGATGCCAGCTGACACCTTTTATCCAGCGTATTATGGATGTCCAGTATTGACATTCCAAAGACCTCTGGATGAGGCTCATTCTAGTCCAAACAAGAACAATGAGAGATATCAACCTGGTCCCCATGAGGCGTCGTTGTGTTGTGAGGTCAGTTCATCACCACAGAAGCAGTTTATGAGGAGTCCAGCCAATATTACATGATCATTATATCCACAATGTAATGTGTGTGTCTGTACAGGCCCATGAACATGTGTGTGATATTGGTCACACATGAGAATGAATGTGTTTACTAGTGTGGAACCAAAATGTAATTGTTCATGAGTT